TGTGTGTGTGTGTGTGTGTGTGTGTGTGTGTGTGTGTGTGTGTAAAAATACACACGTGTATTCCAGCTCTGTTCATCTGGGAAGGCCCAGAAGCACAGACACCCCACTAGCAGCAAGCATGCTTAACCCCCGGGATTTTGAGATGCCAAGCTTCTTGGAAACATGGCTGACTTTAGGCAGAGGCAGGGAAGGTATGAGTTGAGCCTGGAGTGTTTTGTGAAATGATCTCTCATTGCTAGGACAAAATACCCAAAGCAAGGAAAAAGTGAAATCACCAAGCGAGGAAGGGCTCAGGAATGCTCAGGGTGTGCCTAAAGGACACTGTAGCCAGATTGAAGGGCTTTCTGCCACCAAATTGGAGATAAATAGAGAAAAAAAAGATGGAAGTAGATTAGAAATCACGATACAAAATAGGCCATCCTGAGTCCTCTGGATATGAATAACTAAATGAATAGATTAAAAGTTTGAAACCATTGCATCATGCCTGAACACCCACTTCCTTGCTAGTTATGAGAGGGAAAGTATAATTTTATGGCCTGGGAGCCTGGCAGCTTGATCAGGTGGACTGTGAGATCACGCACAGCCTGAAGGTGCCATGAGGAGAGCAGCACCACCTGGGGGTGTCTGCCCACGTAGCACACCCTGGAGCCCAGGGAGCTCTGGCCCAGAGCTGTCTTGCAGAATAACAGGCCCATTATTGTGTGCCAAGGTTAGGAGGCACAGAGTAGACTTAAGAATGGTTCCCAAGAAGGGGATAGGAGAGAAATAGCAATTGTTGGTGATTCCAGACTAGATCCTTTTGTTTTGAAAGTTATTATTAAGGCAGTCGGTCATAACTGAATGGGGTCTGAAGGCAAGGTGAAAGCCATGCATTGATGTGGTCGGAGGTGGGGCTTCTTCAGAAGTGGCTGGGTCTAGAGTATATGATAGATTCATGGTGCAAGGCTCGGACTGAGGATGGGTGATTACTAAATCAGTCCACTGAGCGGTCTGTCATCCCCCTTAATCCTGTTAACCTAGATAGAATATAAAGTGCAGAAAGAAGCTGCTAAGGTCCCTTGCTCACTTTGCTACCTTCTGCCTGCTGTAAACTGTTTCTCCTCTGATGCTTGTCTGCCATGCTGCCCTTCTGGACTAAGACCCCTACTTAGCCAGCCAACTCTGGACTAAGACCCCTACAAACTGTGAGCCAAATAAATCTTTCCTCTCTTAGCTGTAGCCGTCAGGTATTTTGTCTCAACAACAAGAGAAGTAATTAAGACCGAATTTGGTGCCAGAGAAGTGAGGTTGTTGCTGTAACTTTACCTGATCATGTGGTTCAGGAGCCTTTGGGACTGACGTGAGGGAAGTTTGGAAGGTTCAGAGATAGTGACTGAAAAGGTAGCCCTAAAAAGCCTTGCGCTATGCTTGATGGAAGATTCTGGTTGTAGCTCACAAGACCAGAAAGCTGATGGAAATGCTGCTGGTAAAGACCAGAGTCAGGAGGTTGCAGCGGGGAAGGACTGCATTGGCTGTGACTCCAGAATGTATGCTACACCCTCGCAGAAAGTTTGTCTGCAGTCTACTCGCATCCAGAGACTGCCTGTCTTAGTTACTTTTCTCTCGTTGTGGAGACAAAATACCCAACACCCAGAATTAAGGAAGGAAAGGTTTATTTAGCTCACAGTTAGAGGAGGTTTCAGGCCATGCTCGGCTGGCTCCAAGGCAGAGTGGCACATGCCAGAGGGCAGCCATTCACGGGAGCAGAAAACAGCAAAGAGCAAAGGGAGGAGCAAGGGCCAAGGCTCCTAGCAAGCCTCACTCTCTTCCTTTCATTTGTATGCAGATATCTGCCCCAGGGTGAGTGTAGCACTCACACCCATAATCCCTGTATTGGATAATGAATCAATCACAAACTCTAGAAGCCACCCCATGACTGTCTGAGGCTTTGGGGGGACAACTAGATGCAAAACATAACACTGCCTGAGGCTGAGATTAAGGGCAGGAGACTAACCTTGCAGAAAAAATTGCAAGACAGTTTAATGTTGAAGCCGTGGCATGGCTGGTTTGGAGGCTTTTAGCCAGATCATATTAAGAATCAAGAACAAAGAGTTCAGCAGGATGATTTAAAACATGAGTTGGGCCAGGAAGGAAGCTCTAGTAAACCTGTGGGCTGCCAAGATAGAGCAGAAGAGACCTTGATTGCTGAGGAGCAGTAAGAGAGTAAAAAAGATGGCCTGAGGGCATCACAGGGAGTAGTAGTACTCCACCCTTGCAGCCTCAGAATTGCAAAAGTAAAAGACTTTGCTTTGATGGAAGAGTCCCCAGCACCTTGTTTCAGAATGGCAGTAGCCCAGGATGTTGTTCCTCAGGATTTGGCACATGGGCACTCAGCCTGCACAGCCAAGAAAGAAGGAAGTCAAGCTACTGGTCCAGCTGGCCGTAGACCCTCGCTTCATCTGCGTGGAGCTGGCTTTAGGTGCATGCAGAATGCACGAGTTGTAGGATCAAGGTGCTTCTACCCAGATTCCAGAAGAAAGCCTGTGGCTGCCACCCTGGGCCCTCCCGGGCAGTCCTTCAAGATTACTCACTTTCTTCCTCTCCCATCACACCAGCCTAGAGGTCAGCAGCAGTTGACCCTGCACCTGGGGCACCCCTCAGATTCCTTGTGCAGACTGTACCAGTGCACCCCTTCTGGGAATCCCTCGAACTATCCGTGGGTTGTTTCAGCACTTCTCTCTGCTGGTGAAAGAAAGGTACAGTATGTTGCTTAGGGCTTCAGAAGAAGTTTCTGTATGAACAGCTCTGCCTTTTTTCAGTCCTCATGATAGCAGCAGCAGCAGCAGCAGCAACAATACCATAGTAACAGCAAGAGCTAATGTTTGGCTGTTACTGTGCGCTGTCAGTTGTGCCAAGGAAGTGAGAAAGATGTTCTGTAGCCACAGTTCATAGATGGGAAGGCAAGAAAGGTTCAGCACTTGGTCATTTAGTAATGGGAAAAAAATTCTGAAAGTTCTGGCATCCCCATGTCTTATTTCAAGCTAGTTGAAAATTGGGTCATCAGTTATTAAATCACAAAACATTTGGTTTAAATTAAGTGATAAATATTAAATTTTATAATCAGATACACTTAATGTCAAAAATAGAATAAATCCTTGGTTTATTTTTAAATAGGTTTCTTTTTGCCTCATGTTTTTAATTGGCCTTTCTTTTGCTTAACATTTTTTTAGACTTACTCATGGTTATGTTTATCAGCAGTGTGGTGTTTGTTACTGAACAGTTTTGCATTGCATAAATACACATTTATCCTTGTGTAATAAACATTTGAATTATTTCCATTTGGGGCTTTTATCCAAAGTCTGCTGTGAACATTCTTTTACATATCTTTTAATTTCTCTTGGGTGAAGACCTAAATGTGCGGTTGCTCTGTCCTAATGGACATGTTTCTTGGACCTAAATAAGGGCTGGCCTTAAGTTGTTTAAAGTGCCGACACTATTTGACATGCCGTCCAGCAGTCGGCCAGGCCCAGGCCCTGCACTGCCTCGCTGCTGTTGGCACTGACCAGTTGGTACAGGTACTTCAGGGAGTGCGCGTGGCTACCTCGCTGCGATGTTAGCATGCATCTCGCTGTCAGCTAACGACGCTGAGCACCTCTGCACGTGTGTTCAGTGACCATTTGCGTATCTTCTGAAGTGTCCGTCCTTGTCTTCACGTGCTTTTTGAATGGTTTATCTCGTTGTTCTGTGGAGATGGTCCCCATGTCCTGCATGTCCTTTGCCAGGTACGCACGGCACCTGCTTCCCATTCTGCGTTTTCCTTCACTGCTAGTGCTATCTTCTGGCCAGCAGAAATCTGAAGTTTTAAGGAAGTACAGTATTATAGTTTGTCTATCCCAAGGTCACTAAGATGCGCTTTGACACTTCCTTCTGGGATTTTTATGCCTCTTGGTGGTAGATTTATACTCTCATGTCGCTTGCTAGGTTCATTTTCTGGTGGAGAGGGTGAGGTTGAAGTTCATGTGATTCCGTCGAGAAATCCTCTCATTCTAGCAATGCTGGTTAAAAAGGCCTTTTCCTTATTGAGCTGATGTAGCACGGACTCCAGACCTGGGTCCCCTGTCATCCTGTCTCAGCCCAAGACTCTGAACTTTCACAGAACTGTTTCCTCCTTTCTGCAAGGTCATTAATGCTGATCCCATACCTACCTTAGGGGATGCTTTGGGATTAGATATCCATGGCCGTGTGAAGGACTTAGAAAGATGGCCGTACGCATCAGTCCTGGCATTAGCAGGTCACCCTTGTGTATGTTTGCACTGTGCTTTTATGTGTATTCTCTGTGCCTGACAACACGGAACTTAGAATAAATCTTTTTAGCACTACGCCTATAATTTTCATGGAGTTCTATTGAATCTGGTAAAGTTTTTAAAAGGCCTGTTATTTCATAACCAATTTTTTTCTCTTTATAGCGACTTACTAGTATTTATAAGGCATTCATTGAACATAAACATAATTGACTGCTGTGTTGTTTCCAGTTACTGTGACACAGTCCCTGAGATGACAAACTTATAGAAGCTTCGTTTTGGGCTCAGCTTCAGAGGCTTCAGTCCGTGGTCTCTGGGCTGTGGCTTTGGGCCTGTGGTGGCACAGGACACTGCTGAGCCTGCATGGCAGAGGAGACCTGCCCACCTCAGAAGCTAGCAAGCGAGGAAGACTGGGAAGGGCTGGGCTCCTGCACCCCCGTCAGAGGCTGCTCCCTGCTGACCTGGCTTCCTCCCTGTGTCCCACCTCCTCTGGCATGTAGCGCATGTCTAGAGAGCCACAAGTGGAGACTGAGCTTTTAACCCAGGGTCTTGAGAACCCTGGTCCCACCCTAGAGGACATCAATGGCAGCACTGGCCCAGACCAGGGCTGAGCAGTGCACACAGCTCCAGAAGGGAAAGGCCACTCCACATGTGTGCGGGCGTGCATGGAGCCAGGCAGATAGGTGTAAACACCGAGGGTACGTGCCACTCACTACTCTGGAGGGTCACGCAGTGAACATCCTTGCCCAGGAGGTCAGGTGCCCCAGGGCTGGGAGAGCACAGTGCCTGTGGGAGAGTCTGGGAGGAGGCGGGGAAGGCCAGGTGCCGAGGTCCATCTGGGCACTGCAGAAGCCTTGTCTTCCCTTCTCAGGTCTGACAGCAGAGGTAAGCATGCACATATCTGGCAGCACTTTGCACAGCCGGTGGATCCACACATCTACAGCTGCCTTGGTGTGCTGGGAACTGGGAGCAGGTAGTGCTGCGGGGGTGGTCCTCCTGTGGGCACACTCCGCACCTCCTGTCTCAGCCTCCTCTGTGCTGGTGACCATGCTATGCTGGGGGTGCAGAGGGGGCTGTGAGCCCCACCCTGGAGAGACAGTGCTCTCTTCTTAGAACTGCCCCAGAGGTGGGGCTGAGTGGCCATGGCCCCCGAGGCAGCCACTACACCCCAGTAAAGGGACACAGCAAATGTGCAGGGGTCACAGGTGCCTCTTCTGTTGTCAAAGAAATCTTGTTTGGAAGTAAATTATGACTGACAGTGACTTATTTTCAGATCTAAGCTGGAACCAGAACCAAGTCCAAAGGCAAGAGAATGTGCATCTTCTGAGAAAGTTTCAGAGACCCCTTCCAAAGACTCAGAAGAGAAGCCTGCCCCCGAGGAGTATCCAGGTGGGAATTGGGATAGAAATAACCCTCACCTACACTTGTTTCTCAAGCCCTGTTAGCAGGAACCCAATACCCCGATGTGTCAGTGTAGCTGCACTCTCGGCCCCTTCCTGAGCTGCTGAGCCAGTCACTGTGGACCCCACAGGCCCAGGACTGAGAGCAGCTGCTGACACCCAGCCAGTGCTTGCTGAAAATAGGGGGCATGCTCAGGGCTGTTGCAGATGTTTTCAGTTGCATCTCACTGCATGGCAGAGGGCTAGCGGGACGAATGTTATGCCAGGGTGGGGCACTGAAGCCCATCAAGACTGTTTTCCAAGCCCCTTCTCTGGCCTCCCTCCCTGGCCCCATCCAGGGCTGATCACTTGCCAGGCAGCCCCTTGCTCATGCCACCTGTGTTCTCAGCAGTGCCCTCTGGGACCCAGAGAGGCTGGCTAAGTTGTCTAGAGTAAACGCTCCTAGATGGCATCCCAGGGCTCCTACAGGAGTCTGGCTAGCTCTGGAGCCTGTCACGTAGCTGCCTGTCTGTCCCAAGACTCGCTGTGCTTTACTGAGAGCAGGAACACTCACTGTGGTGCTGGCTTCTCAACCCAGAGGCACCAGAGGCCCTTCAAGTAGTTAGAACTCTCCTGGGCATGGCAAGGGCCTGAGCATCTCCAGTGCCCTCTGGTGGTCCTGGCACGGACTGGGCATATAAAGACCCGGCTCCTCTGGGTCCCTGGGGAACATGCTGCCATGACCTGTTCTAAGTGAGGAAAGTGGATTTGAAGAGATCCTGTGACCAGAGCAGAGTCTAGCTCTACAAAGGGCAGCAAGGGGTCCCTGGGGGTCATGACATGACGCCATAAGCCCTTGGGCAGTAACGCTGTGTGCCATCTTGGCACCACCCAATGTCATGTCACTGCTTCTCAACAGTAGTACATAGGGGCATCCCTGCCAAATTCAACCAGGCCACTCGTCCCTCCAGCGATCCCAGCTTCTATCCAAGAAGTGCTGCAAGCGCCTGTGGGAGCAGGCACCCAGCGCAGACTCATCCGGCTGGCCAGCAGAGGCGGAGCTCCTGTGAAGATGCTGAGCTGGGGCTGCCATCCAGCCACGATGTTCCCTGCACCTACTTGCTTCCCTTATCGGCCATGTGTCTGCCCTTTCCTTTGTGCCAGGTTACTTCCTGATCACGGACGTTTCACCAAGTCTATCCACAGTTGCCAGGAAGATTGTTTAAGCCTGGGCTGCATGGATGTCATCCTTCTACTTAACCTCTGCTTTTCAGTTTTGTCATTTCCATTCTGAAATGAGAGGTCATAGGTAGCATTTTGGTGCAGGACCAGGTGGTGTGGTTGGCAGCGGATGCACCCTTGCCTGTCATACATTGGCACAGCCCCTCTGTGCCCACCGCTGACCTGTGCACATCTGCTACCCAGGCCTTCTCCAGCGTCTGCCCAGCCAGGATGAGTTTCTTGTGCCCATTTTAAATCGGCTTTACAGCCTCAGTGTCCCCAGCATTTCCTGTGAATACAGTGCTGACAGTGGTCCTTGTTCACTGAATAGCAGTCCTGCCCTCGGCAGCTCACAGTTGATGGAAAGATGGGATTCTGGCCCCTAGCAGAACGTGAAGAGCTGGGTCAGGGGCGTTTCAGGAGGTGGGGGCAGTCCCTGAGAGGGTAGTCTGGACCTGAGCAGTGGAAGCCTAGGAAGCTCTAGACTCGGGCATCATGTAGGCAAATGCTCAGAGGTCGGGGCAGTGTGGAGACTGGTGTGGGGCGAGCCAGGCAGGCAGTGAGTAGTGTACAAGGAGAGGAGGGCGGAGGGAGCACGGCTGGAGAAGTGGGAGGCTGGGCCTCAGCCCAAGCACCTGCAGCACCGTGCTTCCCGCTGCCTCCTGGAGAGCAAGTTGAGATGGCTCCAGTCAGCTACAAGCCAGGACATGCGTGAGCACGAGCAGAACTTTCCCATCCTCGCTCAGAGCTAATCTGCTTGGGCAGGCAGGAGCACAGTTTACATGTCTGATTTTGGTGTTCCTGTCCTTAAAAACGGGGAAAAAAGAGTCCAGGCATGGTGGCATGCCCCTGTAATCCAAGCGCTGGGGAGGCTGAAAGCAGGGGGATCACTACAAGTTCAAGCTGCGTAGTGAGACCCTACACCAAAAGAAAAAGAAAAAAACAGTAAAGTTTGGAATGGGTACCACAGTGGTGACAAGAAGGAGAAGCTGAGAAGTTCCTACCAACGGGTGTTGGCTCAGGACACCAGCCAGCTCACCAGCCTGGCTGCCTTGGGCCAGGCCTTTCTCAGGACGTTTTCCTACAGCAACTCTTTTGGGAAAAACAGCCCTTTTAAAAACGTGTACTCAAGTGCCCGGCTAGCTCAGTCGGTAGAGCATGAGACTCTTAAAAACGTGTACTCCATTGTGGATGATATATAGGTTTTTGTGAAGAGATGTTTTGAATAATAGATGCATGGCCTACCTGACCTGCCTTCTCTATAAACTGCTGCTAGTGTGGTGATATGTCTCCGTCCAAGGACCCTGGACGTTTGCCCAATTCATGGTGCCAGGCATAACTAAGAAAGTGTACTGAGGTCAAGGAAGAGAAGATAAACGAAGCATGTTTGCCTGAGTCCAGCTGCTGACAAGCCCTGAGGCACTGGTGAGGCACAGATGCAGCCACCTCTGCAGACCCCTTCCTCCTGTCTGGCTGGAAAGTGGTCCCTCCCTCCCTCTGCTCTGCTTCTCGGGTGGCAGCTGTGTTCCTGGGAGGCTGCAGTGTCTGTGTGCTTCCCATGTTCTTCTGGTCTCGGTCACAGGGGGAGCTGTTCAGGCCCCCCGTCCAGCAGCTCCACGGCCAGGTGTCTGGCAGGAGAAGCCCTGGGATGAGAATGCAGCGCTTCTGTGCTCCTGCAAGCGCTGGCGTGCAGAGCCTCAGCAGTGGAGTTGCAGTGCCCCACAGAATAGGCACCCTTGCATTGGAATAGCATGCGGCAGTCCAGAGAACGCGGTCAAGCCGTGCGGACTGGCCTAGAGTGAGCTCCTGGAGGCTGAGAAGTCATCAGCAGTGAGCTTTAGAACAGCATGTTACCACTGGTATCTCTGTGAAATATAAGCCACTTGGCGCAGGATGATGTGTTCGGGTGGAGGGGGTGGGTAGGGAATCGCATGTCTGTGTTTGCGTGTGCTAGATGGAGTCTGCGGGACTCCTGAGAGAGGAAGTAGGTTGGAGACGTGTATCCTTTCTAGGTGCGTGTCTGTGCCTGTCCATTCTTTTTTAACAACAGTAAGTAAGGTATCCTTGTATTTGAAAGTCTTTAAAAGTAGGGTCTGAGTATACGTTTTCAGCACTGTAACTTCAAGACTGGATCTGAAGGATGTCTGTTTAGTTTGCTGCAACTGCTGAATTCCATGCAGTATTAAAACTGCTCAAGATTCTTTTCCAGCCTGTTTTAAACATGCCTACTGCCTATGCCACCCAGCTGTAACGTAAACTTTGGGCCTTCTGTCTGTTTTCAGTTTCTGTTTCTGTTTTTCTGTTTGAACAGAAAAAACTGTGGCTAAAGCGCGACCTGAACTCGGAGCTGTGGGAGACAGCAGAGGTGAAGACGAGTTATCCCCAGAGGAAATACAGATGGTAACGCTGCGCTCTGCCTAACCCTTGCGTGTGTACTGACTGCCCCAGCACCGCTGCATGAAGTCGGGGGTTATCCCAAGTGTCACTGCTGATTTCTATACCAAGTTTTAAAAATTATAAGTATATATTTTCTATACACTTTCCTACCTCATTTCTTCATTCTTAATATGCTTTCCCAGTGTCTTAAATTTGAGATAGCATAATTAAAAAATTACCTTGGGGTGATATTACTAATAATAGATGTCTTTTCAGCAGCAGTGAAGCAGCCTCCTCAGTTAAATGGGCCTCCTAGAGCCACTGGGGAGGTGCTGGGGCTTGGGGATGCGAGGCAGCGTAAGCTGTGGCTGGGCAAGGAAGGGAGCAGCCTGCGCTGCGGAGCTGCCCCTCTGCTTGCCTCTCTGCGCAGCCCTTCACAGCCGGCTGTCACGTCTGGGTGGGCTCAGAAGGAAGCCAAGCGTGTGGAAGTGCTGAGAGAGCAGTGCAGAAGACAGCACTGTCTTCTGGTGGGAAGTCGACGCAGCTTGGAGCAGGAAGCCAGAGCTGCGGGCATCTGCGGTTGTCCTCTGTGCCCTGCTTGCCCACCTCATAGCCTCGGCCTTCTCTGCAGTCTTCCAGCTGGTGCTCCTCGGAGAACCCCTGGGCTCCCCTTTCAGGGCTTAGAGATGGCCCTGGAGACCAGGCCCTGCACTCCACACTGCGCTTGGCGAAGCCCTGCCTGGGTGGGTGGCAACAGCCACCGTCAGAGCCAGACAATGGAGGAGGCTGTGTGTACTTCCCAGTGCCTGAGGGAAAGAAAAGGCTCAGGGCCACAGCAGGCCCTAGAGTCTGGGAGCAGCAATGTAGAAGGGGCCTGCTAGCACCCAGCTTGTGCCCTAGCCCCACTAGCATCTGCCCCCAGAGAGAATGTGGGAGTGACCGCATCGAGAACTTCCTGTGCGCCAAGTGCCACCTACACTGCACTGTGCTCAGCCCCACTGCTTGGGCAGAACTGTTTGCCCACGTCAGTCACAAGTTGCTCACTGAAGCTGTACAGGGCCAGGATCCCCACTGCAGCTGCACTCCCTGGGCAGGGCAGAGAGGAGAAGACTCACCACATCCACCCACAGACTGCCCGGAAGCCAGGACTGGTCCCTGAGGGTTCCCATGAGGCCATACACTGGCTCCCGTAGCCGCCACCTGCGTGAGTTATGCAGGCCTGCCCTTGCGACAGCCTCTGGTGCCTGGTGACATTGTCCCCCCTGCCATCACCCAGCCATAGTAACCTTGCACTGGCCACTGTGAGGGCTAGGTTTGGCTTTTTTGTTTTTAAATGCCATTTCATTATAACTCTGCTCTTCGTAGATGCTCCTGCCGCAGATAAGCCAGCCCTGCACGCTCACGCCTGATCCCTTGAGGCCTCTGTTCCTCTCTTCCTTTAGAGATCCAGTTCTCTCTGGTGGCATTGACAGCCCTGGAGATCACAGGCAGTCAGAGCCAGCTCTGTTCCCACTCCTCTGAGCTGAGGGCTGACACAGTTCCAGAGTGGCCCAGAGGCAAGCCTATGCAGCTGCCTGGGCTGGAACAGTCCAGGAGTGCATCCTGGTGGACCGCTAGGCAGTTTTGTTCAGGAGCAGAAAAGGACTGGGCTTCAAAGGGCAGCACCATGTTTTATCATTAGGAAAAGTCACTAACTAGCAGGGCACAGCAGTGCCGTGGCACAGGTGGCAAAGCAGCCATGGTGACCGAGGGACTTGGGGAGCTGCAGGCTGGGCCAGCCGCCCACTTGGAGCCAGGGTTTGACGAGCAGCAGGGCTGAGAACTGCTAGCCTTCGGCAGCACCAGGCTTGGTGTAGGACGAGAGCCTTCCCAAGCAGGCCGAGGATGTCGGCGTAGAGCCACGTGCACCACCCCCACCTTCAGGAAGCACCAAGCCTCCTGGGGAGTTTCTGGGGTCCAGTTTAGCACAAGGCAGAAAGTGATCAGCATGCAAAGGTCTGCTCAGACAGTACCCTGCCAGGGATAGGAAACTGAGATGCCGGGCATGGGGACATTTGGAAAGAGGAGGGAGGACCCCTCATCAGGACTATATACCTGCATGAAGCAGGACTGTGGTCTCCAGGGGTCCTTTCCCAGTTGCACCTATGGCCAGCCTCAAATGCTCACCTCCTCTGGCTTAGCCACTGTGGTCAGGAGCACATTTGTGGCCCTCTGAGCAGTCCCAGGCACCCCAGGTGTCACAAATGTCCTCACCCAGCCAGAGACCTTAGTCCCTATCAGCATGGCTGAAGTCAGGTGGCCTGCATCAGCCTCTGCCCAGGCTCCTCTCACTGTCCCAGCCCTTTCCCCACCAGACCCTTCTTCCTTTAACTGTTTCAGGACAGGGCCCTGATCTGTCTGTCGCACTGCCAGTTGGCTCTGAACCACGGGATGGTACCCACATGCCTATCCCATCGAGCGGTATGGGACAGGCCCATTAAGGTGGTACAAGCCACCTGTGGGACAGCTGCACATGTGACACTGCTGGCTAGAACCAGAGAGGCTGCGGGCACGTAGTGCAGAACAGCTGGGTAAAGGCTAAGCCAGGAGCTCCTCCCTGCTTCACAGCCAGGGCTGTGAAAGCAGCTGGTGCCTGCAAATTCAGGGTAGGTCCAGGCCTCTTCCCAAAGTGGGAGTTGCGCAGGGCCCGCTGTCTTCAGTGGCACAGCACTTGCTGTGCAGGGAAGAGGGAGGCACTGAGGACTGGGAGCGGATGGTCCATGGGACAGCAGCCTAAGTGTGTTTGCTTCCTCACAGTTTGAGCAAGAAAACCAGCGACTCATTGGGGAGATGAACAGCTTGTTTGATGAAGTGAGGTAAGTATGCGGCTCTCTCGTGAGCAGAAGCCAGTGTACTGCTTTCTCAAGGCTGTTACTGGCCATGGTACTACCTGAGCACCCATGTGCAACCCCTCGGAGCCCTGGTAGTAGGGCAGGGCTAAGCTACTGGCTGCTGCCATCAGACCTCAGGGGCCACACCGTCCTTAGGAGCAGAGCACCTGGAATGTAATACCACCCACACGCAGCGAGCTGTGTGTGATTCCCCTACAGAGACAGCAGGGCCTGTGAAGGCCATCACTCCGCGGGGCTGCATCCGCCTGACTACACTTACACGGGCCTCGGCTCAGTGGGAGTATGTGGGGCATTGCAGCAGTGAAGCCTGGGTCTTCATGCAGCTGTGCTGCACTGTGGACACCCCTAAAATAAAGCCCTGATGCGGCACACATCCCCAGAGACTCCTCGGGGAGTGGTCCTCCTGCTCACAGCCCCGCCCAGCCTCTCACTCCCCGGCTGGGCCTACCTCCATCCTCCTCCCCTAGGCCTGGTGCTTCCTCCTTTGCATACCTCTTTCCCTCCGTCCCCTTCCCTCTCCTAGCTGAGGGAGTCCTAGCCACCCATGCAGTGCCAGCACCTTCTGCCTCCTTCACTTTGTGCCCAAGCCACGGCTGGCTTCAGCCTTGCCAGTTGCCATTTCTTCTGCACACAGGCCTCGGCCTACCCCAGGGTATCTGTGCCACCCCCAAAACAGGGAAGACACTTGCCAAACCCAGATGCAATGTTTTCAGACTAAACAGGAATGGGGGATGTCTGACCAGGGAGCTGTTTGGGTCCTCAGTACACCTAGACATTGCCTTTGGAATTGCCTGCATGTGTGACCGGATGACGAGGCCAGCCCTAGGACTGACCAGTGACTTGGCATAGCCCTGAGCCTCCTGTTGCCTTAGACAGACCCAGAACACAGGGACCCGCACAGGCCTACCTCTTGGGACTGACGGGCAGCCAGTGCCCTTCCTCACGTGCAGTGTGGGCTCAGCCAGAGTCAGGAAGGGAGCCCATCAAAGAGAGCTGGCCCCATGCTTCCTCCTCCCACCTCCCTGAGGAGGGACGGTCCTTTAGAAATGTCTCTGTTCCTGCTGCATCTCCAAGTATAATGGCTAACACAGTCTCTTGGTTCTCTTTATAAAGGCAAATCGAAGGGAAAGTAGTCGAAATCTCCAGACTCCAAGAGATATTCACAGAAAAAGTTTTACAACAGGTAAATAAAATCAGAAAATGCGATTGTTTTCAGCATTAGCTTGAAGAGAAAGCCCTGAGAAGGCGGCCATCCCTGCCCGTGGGTCTGCCCTGTGGCTGTGGTGGTGCTGCATGCACTGCGGGCACTGCTTGTGCAGGCCGTGCTCAGGGGACCCACATCAGGCCAGGCAGCCGCCTATGAGGCCAAGCACATGGGCCCATGGGAGGACAGTGTCCAGGCCTGAAGTCAGGCAGCTCTTGGCTCTTCTGTCCTGGGCTGAGCTGAGCAGCCCCTCCATAAAATGGGGTGGCTCTACAGAAGCACCCCATCACCGTGCTTGGGGGGAGTACTTTTCAGTCAACAGTGTCACACAGGCCCATGTTGCGCCGGGTGCATTGTCTTGAAGGGGCAAGGGGTACTGTCTCCCGGGAATCCTGCTCTCATCTACCTGCCCACAGTCTAGAAACACTTCCACCCAGTAATTGCCAGGATCAGTGTGACAGTCCTAATAAGGTGGCTCTTCTAGGGCTGGGGAGATGGCTCAGTGGACTAAGTGCTTCCTGGCAAGCACAAGGGCCTGGGTTCAATCCTCGGTTCCACAAGAAAAAAAAGTGGCTCTTCTGCCATAGCACCCACAGACTGCAGCAGAGTTTGGAAGACCTCATTTTTTTTCCAGTGTTAGGCGGGGCTGTGGGGCTCTGGGGTACTCACAGCTTTCCCTAGAGCACACAGCCAGTCAGCTCACAGCGAGTGAGGGAAACTGAGTCCTAGCAGTCTGGAAGTTGGGGTCATATGAACTGCTGTTCCAGTCACTTGGTGACAGCAGTGGGCACACCTGTGTGCTGAGCCCAGGCTGCCCGAGCGCAGACCCTCCAGCTGCACAGGTGTGAGGCAGCAGACCCCAAGGAGCACAGCTGGTACAAAGCTCGGGCCCTACGTACTGAGGCAGGCCCAGCGTGACCTGGGCCCAGTGTCCCTGTCGTGTGGCCAGGGATGCTTCCTCCCCACCCCCACCTCCCCTTTCTTTGTAAAGTGAAATCAGTGTTTCCTGCTGCACTCACGGAGCCAGTGAACGGGAAGGACCTGGGAGGTTGTTCCTGTGCCGCTCTTGAGTGGGGCTGCCATCATTTCTGGGTGGAGCAATGGAAGTCTGGGTCCCATCCTGTTGCAGTGGTACAGCCATAGCCACCAGCCCAGAGACCGTCTCCTCAGTGTGTGTGTGTGTGTGTGTGTGTGTGTGTGTGTGTGTGTGTGTGAGAAACACCACGAGGGCAGGCAGACTGCAGGCAGGGTTCCCCCTGCACTGTTAGCTCCTGTGCTCAACCCAGCCTGAGGAGAGATGGTGTCGTTAATGCTGTGATCCTCACAGCTGTGGCTGCCCAGGTACAGGCCAGATGTGGCTGCACAGGACAGGCAAGGTGCTGCCCACCCTCAGGGGGCCAAGCCCTCTGCTTCCTGTGTATCCCTGTCTGTGTGGCCTTTCTGCAAGTGTCCTGCAGCACACCCTAGCTTCTAGCTGTTCCTTAGATGTGGCGCCAGGACTTGAGTATGTAGAACTCATTTTGAAGCTAGCATGGTTGTTTAAAGCTGACCCTGCTGGACTTCAGAAAGAACAGTGGAGTGCTGGAGGGAAAGCCCCAGCATGCAAGCGATGCAGCCTTTTGTGTCATCCTCTGGCGGGTGGCACAGCAGAGGCAGCAGGCAGGGCAGGGAGTACAGGCGAGGGGCCCCAAGGGCTGGTGCCTCCACCGGGTCCTGCCACTAGGCTGCTTTGTGACACTGAATGAGTCAGAGAAGTTCTCTGAGCCCTAAGCTTCCTTTGATAAAACTGAGGTGTGCTTGTGCCTCGGAGTGCTGTTAAACTCAGGCCATAGAGGGAAGCCCCTGGTCCTGGGAAGCGGCTGTTTTCCCTCTTAGGTGTTTACCTGGCCCTTTTTCCCACCATAGGAAGCTGAGATCGACAGCATCCACCAGTTGGTTGTCGGGGCGACTGAAAACATCAAAGAGGGCAATGAGGACATTCGTGAGGTGGGTGCTCCAGGCCCCAGGGCTACCTGACGGCACAGGGGGCAAAGCTAGGCTCTGTCCTGGAGCCATGAGGCTCTGGTCTCAGCGGGTGTTGGAGGCCGCAGCTCCAACCTTGGAGCAGTTGGGTGGAGGGCCACTCCCAGCGCCCACCGTCAGGCCAGCTGCACGGAGGGAGTGGAGGGCTTTGACCCCTGGACAGCAGCAAGGCCTCCAGGGAGTCCGAGTTCCTGCTGGCACAGGATTATGCTCCTGCAGGTTATGGTTTAGCAGTGAGGAGAAAAGAGCCACTGTCTCCCCATGCAGTCCAGCCCTGCTTGTTGGCTTCATAAAGCACGCAGCCAGCTCCCAGGGTGCTCCTGGCCTAGGACCCTCAGGGGCATGGAGCAGAGCGTGTGGGACGTGGGGCTGCAGGGCTGACAGCAGGGTGATGCCTGTGCTCTGCCTGTCCAGGCCATCAAGAACAACGCAGGCTTCCGCGTCTGGATCCTCTTCTTCCTGGTGATGTGCTCCTTCTCCCTGCTCTTCCTCGACTGGTACGACAGCTAGCAGCGGAGGCCAAGCCTGCACGCACTATGTGTGCTGTCAGGGCACAGCGTGGTCAGGGTTCGTCACTGTGCGAGGAGGGGAGGGGTTGAGACAGACACGTGTGAGAGAACCCACGCCCACGCTGTTAAGCCGCTGGGGGAGAACGTGCACGAACTGGAAGTGGTCTGTGCCAGCATCCAGAGGGCTGGCGCCACCGTCGCCCCTGCCGAGCTGCTCCCCATACCTGCTGGGGCTCCGAGCAAGTCTCTGCCCCTGCCCACCCCAGTGGCTTCAGGGAAGGGCACAAGCAGTGACATCATTCAACAGCTCAATCCTGACTTCTTCGTGGCTGCCAGTCTGTCTGCATCAGCTGACTCAGTCCTGCATTGTTGAAAAGATCCCCATGTGCCCTGTTGATTTCATAAGCACAGTCACAGCCACTCGCTGTGCTGGCAGGGAGTAGACGGCAGTTCCACGGATGCCTAGCTGCCGCGCCAGCACTTCATGGCAGGGTGGGGACAGGCACAGGAAGACCAGTGTCCCAGCCCTGGTCCAAGGAGCTGGTGTTCCGAGGAGGCCGAGGACCACAGAAGAGCGAGGCCTGCTGCCCTGTCCCTGCTCTCCTCCCTCCTGGAACTGACAGGACCCCAGCTCAGGTAGGGCAGAGCCGTGCGCGCACGTGGCATCCATGCTGCACCCGGAGCGGAGCGTGCGCAGCCTGCGGACAGAGTCCCTTGGGAAGCACAGGTGCCCTCCAGTTCTTTATTTGCAGAGTGCAATGTCAGAAGTTATTTCAGTCAGTTTACAGTCAATAAAGTAACGTCTACTACAAAATGCAAGCGGGGTGCTGTGTGTACACGGGCTTCGTGTGTGTGCAGACATACGCAGGACACGATTTGGCACGCATTGATTGCTTTGTGCATTCCCACAGCCTCACCACATCCTCCGCAGCGAGTGCCTCCGAAATGCGCTGAGGCCACGCCTGTGTCTGCAGACCCCTGGACACGACGTGTGTCTCCCACAAGCACGTTCAGGGACTGCTGGCGCCCACCATGATCGCCGTGCTGGCTCGCAGCACATCCGCACTACTGCTCATTTATTTCTGATCTACTAGAAGGCAGTGAGACTTCGGACATGGCCACAGAAACAACACATTCACATGGCATGGGATAAAAGTCTGGATATCATTGTTCTATTTAATTGTCTTACACACTTAGTTTATCTACCTGGCAATTCTGTAAACATTTAATGTCAAGATTCCAATGGAAACAATTACAAGGCAGTGGGCGGAGGTGCCCTATGTGCAGGGCGCCCTCCCTGCCTGTCCTACAGCAAGGGAGTTACATCTTCTCACGGGACACAGCCGAAGGACCCTGGCTTGGCAGCGCTTACACCGTCACTTTGCTCACCCAGCTTATTTTTTTAAAACACGCGTATAGGGCTGCATGTGCAAATGTGTTCCCACTCAGAGTCGCGGGGCAGGGCCAGTGGTGGCTCCCTCCTGCCAATGCTCACTCACCAGCCGGAGCTCGGCAGCCCCTGGGCTGGGGCCTGACTCCCACCCTCCCCTCCTTGCGCTCTGCAGAGAACCCTGCTATCTCCACCCAGGGCCCCTGCTCTGTCAGGCGGGGACAGAGGACACCCAGAGGCAGCAAGGCCTCCCTGCGTGCTCTCCTCCCCTCGCTGCATCACTCGCTGCAGCGCATCTCGGCAGCCAGCCCTGCTGCTGGCTGCGGGGGAGCAGGAGCAGGAGTCGGGCTTGCCCTCAGCATCGCGGGAGGCCTCTCCGATCCAGCTGCAGAGCAAGGTTTGCGGAGAGCAGGGTGGCTCTTAAAACATCAACCCCAGAGTGCAGTTTTTATCTGAAGTCCAAACTCCTGACATATCCAGTGTACATTTATTTTCTGACAGCATCCAGTAAGCTCCGTGAAGGAGCTGAATTAAGAACCCTTAACATGAAGATGGTGTCGGAGCTCTTTAAGCAATGCTGATATGCACTTGGTCTTATGCCCATGGGTGGTCGGCAGCAAGTTTTATTTGCAAAGCAGCATTAGCAAACAGAAGCAATTGCACCGTAGATGAATAACCTCTAAATTACCAGTAATTATATTTAATGAAATGTCCCTCAAAGTCCCTTTGTTACCTTCAAGTGACACATTGTAAGGAACCTGCCCATGTCGCTAAGCTGACTTCTCAGCTGCCTCCGTCTCCTGCTCTGACAGCTTCTCCTCAGACAGAACGGACATCCAGGGCGAGGCGGAGCGGGAGCTACTCTGCTTGGCCAGGTCGTAGTGATTTATGACCGTGTAGAATTTCTCCCGGGCGCTGGAGTCCTGCTCGGAATAGTAGCTCTCCAAGCCTTCCGGGATACACTGGGTGTTCTGCAACACAAGGGCCCACACAGATGGAGTGGGTGCAGGCGAACGCACAGCCCGCAGAGTGCTGCCACAGGCAAGCGAGGTCCTGCCCTCGGACTCCAGCCAGTGCCCCACAGGGATGTTCTGACAATGGTGCCCTCACCAAAGAACTTGCACTGGATGTCACTTATTTTTATACTGCTAGAAAACTTGACACTTTTGACATGCCCAGGAGCACTGAATCAAGGGTCCCTGCACTAAGTCCCTAGGGGACTGGGGAAGAGCAACAGGCAAGCTTGGGAGACAAAGGAAAAGCATGAGGGGAAAGGCTGGGGCTGGAAGGGGCATGGAGAGGCTGGGAGGGAGGAGAGCAGGGCCACGCCACAGAGATGCAGGAAGCCATAGGCAAGGGTCAAGGGTGGGGACTGGCTCACTCCAGCCACACACGGGGAGGCCACAGCAGGTTCCACCTGGCTGGAAGCCCAGAGGTCAGATGTGGCACTCTGGAACGGACTCTCCACAGTCGTCAACTTGCCAGGAGTCTAATGTCCCAAAAGCTTAAGATCTTCACTGGACAGAGGCTGACCAGCCCCCGACCCCCCAGAGCCAAACCTGATGCTGGTAGAACATGGTGGGGCAGAGGGGATCTTTGTGCTCACATCATGTGACCCCTCACCCCAGCCTCGAAGTGGAGGTGTGCAGAGGCTGCTCTTTCACACCCATTCCCTTGAGTGGATGGGACCAGGCCATATCCAGGAAATGACATTTCCCAGCCTGCCTTGCAGCCAGATGAGGCCTCATGACTGACCTCCAGCCTGTAGGACTGCAGTTGATGTCAGGAACAGGCTGGCCAGGGCCCTAAAGGGAGGCTGCATGCTTGTCCCATCTCCCTCTTGGCTGGCTGCAGGAGGTGGGCCCCTACAGACCACCATGCCTGCCTGCTGGGCCTTCCGTGCGCGGGTAAGGCACCTCCCTCCTCGTCATGGCCTCTGTAATTTGTGTCTCCAAGCAACCAAAGCATCACACTAGTGCCCAGGAGCTCCTACCAGATGGGACATGAGGCCCACGTCACTCGGGAGCCTCCACCTAGCACCTATGGTCTAGGAACTCTTTCTCAGCAGTCCCTCCATTGAGTACCTCAGCAAATCTGTCCCGTAGCTGTCCCCAAGGCAGCACTTCAAACAGCCCCCGAGGACTCTTGCGCTTCAGCCCCACCGCATTCAGCATCTGGGCCAAGGCCACCAGGCTGGAAAGTGGCCCAGGCCATGGCACCTGTCCTGCTCTCACTAGTGACAAAAAATGCTGCATTCTCCACCCCAATTTCCAAGAGAGGTGGGCCTGAGGAGACCCTTGACATCGCCACATGATGGTGGCTGCTGTGACAATGGATATGGGACGGGGCGTCTTGCCCAACCCAGGATATTGGGGAGTCACTCCAGGGACCTCCTCCCCGCACCTCTGACTTGGGGTCCCACTCTTTGGGGCCGTCTTGTGGATTCCAGGCCACCTCCCCTATCCTGGCAGCAGAGGCCTAGGGCCTGGATCTGCACCTGCTTCCTGTGTCCCTCTTGAGCTGACCCAGACTTCCAACTCCACCTAGTGACAAGGAGGATGGGAAAGGAAACCCCAGCCAGGGTTGAAGGGGTACAACTGCTCTTCCCCGTGCAGGCTCCTAGCAGTCTGCACTTCAGACAGCCGCCATCGAGTCCCAGCATGGTGCACACAGCTGCAGGCATGGTGTCAGCCTCCCCAGGTCACTGTCATCAGAGCAATCGCCATCCCTGTGCTGTTGGTTGTCTGCGGTGCCTTTGAAGGTGCAGATACGCTGCTCAATGCCAAAGCGGAAACTGAGCCTAGGGAGGCTGGGAGAGGAGCCGGGTCTAGGGAGCCTAGGGAGGCTGGGAGAGGAGCCGGGTCTAGGGAGCCTAGGGAGGCTGGGAGAGGAGCCGGGTCTAGGGAGCCTAGGGAGGCTGGGAGCTGCCCTGAGAGCTGGCAGAGGAGCCGGGTCTCCAGCCGTAATCTGCACTCTGCTCCTTAGTGTCCTCGCTAGGTGGCCACTTATAACACCTTCACATTCTGCTTAGCTTCCCCCCCCCCGTGTGCATGGCCACTTATCTTGTCCAGCACTGACTGGACCCTCAGTGTCCACCAGCTGCGATGCATCCAAACCCAGGGCCTTGCGTGTGACATCTGGACCCTCACTGCCCACCTCCCTGCTACCCAGATGTGACCATCTTTTCAGCAGGCCGTTGTCAGTGGATCCTCAGTGGCCACTAAGCTGCCAGGCATCCAAACCCAGGGCCTCGTGTGTGACATCACGGTGTCTGTTTCGGATCTCAGGCACCGTGCAGAGTGAATGATGTGGCTGCGAGCAGATTAGAGGTGACGCAGCCAAGGGAAGGCATCCACAGGTGCCCAGCTCAGTGGCTGGGGCAGGGTGGTCGCAGTTCTAGTCCAGCCTGGGCAACTTAAGTAGACTCTCAAAAAACAACAACAAAAAAAAAAAAGGCTGGGGGTGTAGCTCAGTGCAAAGGCCCTGGGTTTGATCCTTACTGCTGCAAGAAAATTAGATAAATGTGCAAGTGAGAATGTGGCATCCTCGCTAGGTGGCCACTCATGACACCCTTCTGCTCAGCTTGAGCCACAGGATGTGGCTGGTGGGGGCCACCTCCCGTGTGCTTGGCTGCTCCTCTTGTCCAGCACTAACTGGACCCTCAGTGCCCACCAGACCACAGCGGGCAACACTAAGAACATGCTGAGTGTTGAATGAACAGGGCGTGGCCTAGAGCCTCTTGGCCCTTCACAATCCCACTGGTAACATGGGGATGAGAGACGAACAGGATGTCCGCCCCACAGGCCTGCTGGGCACCTCCAGAGAGCTTGTGTAGAAACCGCTCGTCAGCTGGCTGCTGTGGGTGTGTGGTACGCATGCACATGAGAGCCAGGAGAGAGAGGATGCCAAGGGCAGCTGACACAGACCCCTCCTGGGCCACCCAGGAAGGACCCCATGCCTCCCTTACACACTAGTGCAGAATGCCAAAGTCCCCTGGGCTGCAGCTCCTGGAAGCCACCTATCAGGCTCGGGACAGACATGCACACTCCACCTGCTAGGCACAAAGATCTCCCAGCCCTTCTGCCCCAATGAGCTGGCTCCAGCTGGGTGGGGACTGCATTGTCCCTCCTGCTGGAACCTGCCCTGGACCCAGGAGGTACAGTGAGGGTGCAGCACTGGCCTGGGGCTAAGGCCGACACCTGCAGGCTGGTCCCTGCACAGGAGCACTCCTGGGGCTGTTGCTTCCTCCTATGACATCAGCCTGAGTCACTCAGCGATGGGCCAGGTCCCATCCTCTCTGGCCCTCCCTGCTTCCCAGACGCAATCATCTTTTCAGCAGGCTGCTGTTGATGGCTCGTGTTCTGTCCGCAGTGCCCCACTGTCCAGACTACCTCCTTCTTGCCCACTATAGCGGCTGCCTGGCCATCTCAGTGCTGGTTTCCCTTCTAGTCCCCAGTGGGGACCCAAGGGATTGTCCCCAGCTTGTCTTCTTCCTCTGGGCCTCTGCTGGGCACTCAATATGCCCCAGTCTGGCCATAGCTGTCCCTTTCCCCATGCCTGGGCTGCCCTGAGTATGCCACCTGCTGTGCTCCAGGCTGTCATGGGCTGGGCCCCAATGTGGGGTCACTGAATAAAGGGAACGCAAAGTGGTACCCTGAGGCCGCCCTCGTGTCGAGCTTCTCTAGATCCATGCTAGTCCCTGCCTGTCCTCCTGTTCTGCTGGTGATCACTCAGGCCCCTCAGGCCTGCTGCTGGATGGTGAGGAGTGGCACAAGGACACAGGGTTCCTGGGCTGGGGAACGACATGAAGCTTTACCTTGAGGACGAACCCGTCTGGGCAGGCGCGATCGTACTTGTACACTTTGTAGACCACCAGGAAGACGACACAGGTGAGGAAGGCCAGGGCGAAGAGGACGAGCACGGAGACCTGCAGGCGGAGGGAGGGACCGTCAGGGCAGCAATGTGCACCAACGTGTGCAGAGACGCGGGAAGAACAGGCAGCTCCTGTGAAGGGCAGCTGGGGACGAGTGGGCAGGAGAGTGGCTTCTCACAGGGCAGCTTGTGCCCTCCACGCCGTTTCGTGCCTGCCACATGCACGTGTCCCCTTCACTTCTCCTGAGTTGTCTATAGCATTCCGGGCTGCAGGGAGAGTGCTGGGTACAGATACCATACAGCCAGGACACCACCCAGGCTTCTCCATGGAGACTCGGACACGGGACTGCTGTGCCCCCAACCTGGTCGCTGAGCTCGAGCACCTCTTCATAGACACCTCATGGCTCAGACACCTGGCTGCCCTTGCACCAGGACTGGCTGGCCAGAAGGACAGCACACCCGCAGCCCTGTCCCCTCTGCCCTCCACCGTGCCCTGCAGGTCAGTGTGTATCCACAGGAACAGGGACTGGTGTTCCTCAGCCCTGTATGCTGAGCCCTATGCCAGCCCAACACAAAGGTACTCTGCTGCTGTTCACAGTGGAGCTCCGGGGATAGCACGGGGACAGCTGGTATGGAGGCAGGACCCCAGGGAACACTGCATCAGAGCTTTGAAGATGTTTACCTGGCCGCTAGTAAGCTGGACAGGGTATGACTGTGATTGCAAGCGGCCCCTCCAGCTCATGTGAGTGGGGCAGCTACCAGGAAGGGGGTGGAGGCACGGGACACCCAAATGCAGAGAGATGCTAACTCCCTACCTCCCGCCCCTTCCACTGCCGCCACACAGAGCACACCACCACGCCAGAGGTGGGGAGCACGGGTGCTGCAGAAGAGACGCAGGTGCAGCCCAGGCTCATCTGAGTAGACCCTGCCAGCCTCAAGAGCCTGGCCTTGTGTCCACAGGGGGAGATGAGGCTCCCTTCCCCACTGTGAAAGCCAGCAGAAGTAGCCAGTGCCAGCCAGGACCACAGGAGGAGACGCAAGATGTAAAAGGTGTGCCGTGGGCTGCCTGCAGTGCACTTCGGGAAGCTGGAGGCCGATGCACCGCTGTCACGCACACCTGTGGCCCCTGCACCAGCTACTTAGGCACCAGCACAGGCTGTGCGGGTGCTGCAGCTCGACTGGAGCCCCGCCCACTGCAGCCATCTCCCTGGACTAGGACTCACCACTTCCCAGCCACTACCAAGCTGCAAACCTTGTTGTTGTTACTAGGGGCACCTGTCTCCTCTTCCTAGAGCTCCTGATCTCCAGGGCTCATACCTGCCCTGCCTGCTGCACAGCAGGGTGACGCGGAACAGGGACAGGAGCATGGTCTAGATGGGCCCTGCCTACATGGCCTCCTGCACACAGCTTCTGCTGGACCTGCCAGTCCTGCAGGCACCCAGATCAGGATGAGGCTGGCACCAAGAACACAGGACCACAGCCAGCCCCCGACCTGCACCCCAGTTGCAAGCCACACCCACAGCTGCCAAAATCCCCATCCCCCCCAGCGCACACCCCTCTGCTGGAATGAGCCAAGTCTCCTCTGTGCCCAGAGATCTGCCCCCGCATGCGCCACGCCACCTCTCAGGACTGCCTTCCTACTCTAGATCTGGGTCTATGTCTGGCCTCCAGGGTCCACCCCCTTGAGAGTGCCAAGGTTTGGAGCCTGGCAGTAAGGTTATGGCTTGTGTCTAGATGTCCGCCAAAGCCTCATGTAGTCATGGCCAGGCTTCTGGAGTTTTTGGTTGACTCATGGCCCAGGGCTAGGACTGTGGGTGTGAGTGCTGCACCCCCCTGGGGTAGCGAGCCCATATACAATGTAAGGGAGGGAAGAGACGCGCTCTCTGCTGCTGCTGCTCCCTTTTGCTCTCGCTACCTTTGCTATTTTCCACCTCCATGAACAGCTGCCCTTTGCCCTGTGCTGCTCTGCCTTGGAGCTAGCTGAGTATGGACTAAAACCTCCACAAACTGTGAGCTACGTAACCTTTCCTTCTTTAACTTTGGGTGTCAGGTATTTTGTCTCAGCAACAAAAGAAAAATAATGGAGACAGTGCCTGACGCTACTCCAGCGTCTATGACCCACACTGGCACTATCACCTCCCTAAAGCCAGAGAGACTTCAGTCTGTCTAGACAGTCCACATCACATACAGAACTGTGCCTGGCACTGGATGCAGACAGGAAGGGGCCAGGCTGCCCACACCCAGCTTGCCACAGATGTGAGGCCAGGAGTGGAGCCTGGTGGCAGGAAGCTGGGATTTGCTAGAGAAATGGGCAGCACCCTGCTGGCTCTGGGAGTGGCAAGCACATGGCAGGATGGGCTGGTGACAGCCACCAGCCACAGGTGCATGTGCCCTGCGGCTCCAGCTCTGTGTCCACTAGCACAAGTGTCACTCTGCAGGCCTCTGGGAGGACCAAGGAGTCGGCACAGTGCCAGGCCTCAGCACAGGGCCTGGTGTGCTGGACCCAGCAGCAATGGCTCTTGTTAAGACTACTGCTGTCCTGGAGCTTGCTCCCTGGGGTCGGCTCTCAACCCAGGTAACCCATACTCCCCTGTGGCCGTTGCCCCGCGCTATCCTCCCTGGCTAGGGATGCACCCCCTCCCCCACCTGTCCCCACCATCCCCACCAGCGGGGCTGTAGACTGAGATGGCACACCGTTCACCTGCTCTTCCAGCCTGGGAGCCACACAGCAGCCAGGTTCATGGTGCCCCATCTGCCAGTGTTCAGAAATAACCCAGCAGGCTGTGAGGAAACAACCTCCCCGCACAGCTCTGGAACCCAGCCTGCGCCTTTATTGCAGGATTCCCAGGCCTGGCAGCCAAGGAGCTCACAGAACCGAGAAATGAGAACAGGACAGTCCCTGGAGCCGCTGGGAGGAAGAGACAAAGAAAGAGCCCAAGTCAGCAGGTGGAACGGCTGTGACGCACTCCCTGCCTGCCATGCCCCCCTTCCAAGGCACAGCCCTGGGAAGCCTGTCCTTGCCCCACACATGAAAATCTGCTGGCGGCACACATATCCCCATGTCCAGCATGGCTGAGAGGGCACCATGGGCCTCTCCACAAGGCCCCCCTGGCATGGTGCTGTCCTGACTCACTGTGGACCATGACCTAGAGCAGGTGGCCTGGCCTCTCTGGATACCCATCGTGTCTTGGGTCAGGGGCCATGCCTCATTCCCCCATAGGTCCACGAGGACGAGGGGGTCTGGGAACAAGCTGTCGGCCCCACAGCTTCGCTCACATACAGGCGCTCCAGACACCTGCTGAAGCCTCACAAGTCCCTGCGAAGGTGACCTTGTTTACCAACCGCACCTTCGCAGATTCGATCAAGCTAAGGTTATTAGGTTGGGCGCTGAGCCAATCTGACTGGTGTCCTAATAAAAAGGAAATGGGGACACGGAGACAAGACTGTGAAGACCGAGGGCTAGAATGACCTGTTCACAAGTCAATCCATGCAAAGGGGAAAGACGGGGCCCTCCCCTGTGGAATTCAGAAGTCCAACCTGGGACACCTTGGTTTCAGACTTCTGGCCCCCAGGACTCTGAGAGAAGACATTTTGATGACTGTAAGCACCCTTGCTGTGTGACATTTTGTTATCACCAGGTCATGCTGCCTTCTCCCCTCCCAACCAGACCTGTGGCCTGCAGAAGGTTCTAGAACGCTGAGCCCTCTCTGGACACCAATCCCACATACTGCCATCAAGTCACCAAGCACCCGTTTCGTCCTAATTCAATAGAGGGTGGCCCAGTTTGGAGACTTGCATGACCCTCTGCCTCCCCATGAGATAGCTAGGAATATTCTAGAACACTGAGTGAAATTACTGAGCCAGGCATCAGTGCTTCCTCCCAGCCTGCGAGTCTCCCAAGGCTGGCTCTACCTTCCTAAGTGTCCCTCTGCAAACCCTGCAGAGCCCTGCAAAACTGCATCCTTCAACCAACTTCTGAAGATTTCAGAAAAAAAAAAAAAACGCTGGAGTGGCCATTTGGTGCCAGGACAAAGGATGAGAGGAGTCTCACTTTGGGTTCAAACCCTGCTCAGCCACACACAATACCTTGGGAAGGGCTCACCCACCTGCCGTTCTTTCACATGTGAAAAGGGTGCCAGCCCTGTACCTATGCCTGTGCTCCTGGGGCTGTGCAGGGCCCTGGGGCCGGGCAGAGTGGGCCCAGTGAGCTCTCCTGCACAGCACTGCAGCCTCCCGGGAAAGAAGCTGAAGGACTGGGATCCAGCCCATGAGGTAGCTGAAGAACAGCCCACAAGGGTACCCTGCCCTATCCCTGTGCTGTGGTCTGAATGTGTCCCTCAAAGGCATATGTTGGGAACCAACGCCCCAGCGCCAAGTGTGAGGAGTTAGGGATTAACCAGAGGTGACTGGATCCAGAAGCCTCCACCCTCAGGACTGGATTAGTGCCCTTGTCAAAGAGTGAGTTCATTATCAAAAGATAAATTAGCACACCTGTAACTCTAGCTACTTAGAAGACTGAGGAGGGAGGTTCACAAGTTCTAGGTCAACCTGGGCAGCTTAGCAAGATGCTACTTCAAAGCCAAGTAAAGGTCTGGATGCAGCTGGGCAGCAGAGCACCTGTTTGGCATGCATGTGGCCCTGGGCGCACTCCTTGGGGCCACAGGTGCAGCCATAGGAAGGGTGGACTCGGTCTCCTCTCTTGCTCTCCTGGCCTCTCTCCACCCTTCTGCATGGAGCAAGGCGGTGAGAAGGTCCCTGCCCACTGCATTCAGGATATCTAGCCAGGGAGAGCACCCTGCCTACCCTACCCAGTTGAGAGCTTTGTGCCATGGGGGTGGGGGTACGCTACAAAGCAGGTGACAAAAATAAATAAAATAAAAAATAAAAAGTGGAAGGAAAAAAAATGATGCAGTGTGAATGACCACGTAATAAGTAATCCAGCCTGGACTACACAATTGTCTTTACTTTGCTCTTTTCCTGTACAGGGAACAGGGAGGCCCTGCTTCCTCGAATAATCTTCTGGAGCCCCCAAGTGGTCAAGGGACTTCTTGGGTG